GGGGGGGTTCTCTCTTTCTCCTATGTAATCTCCTTAGTGAAAAGAAAGTAAAACAATTTCTCATCTTCCATTGAATGTGTACAACAATCATTTTCACCGATTGGGGAGAGAAGAAATGAAAAGCTTAGATAATTTATCGCTTTTACTTCATTTTATGTATCATTTTTCGGTTTGTTTGTAGATCTGGAATTTACTATGTTTGACTAAGATTTACCCTTTCAACTTTCTTAATTGATTTAATCAAAAAGATTCCAATATCTTTTGGTCAAACAACAAGTGGAGTCTGGGTATTTAATATTACATTGCTATAATTAGGAAAGTCTTATGACAGAACTCTAACATGAGAAAAATCATAATCAAACGTTAAATGTAAAATTGAAGGTTTTGGAGACGTCCACCCATTTACATTGGAGCTCTATTAATGACATAAGTATGAGACAATTTGCTAGCGATCAAAAGTATGAATAAATTCAATGTATAATTAAAGTTAAAATTGAACAACTTTGAACAATAAAAAGATAAATTTGAACCTTTAATTTTCCCTAGATCTAACTATGGTCAAATTAAAAACAGTTACTAGTAAAACTTCCTTTAACAATCTCCAATTTCCTTATCTAAAGTACTCTATTTGTATCAAATTATTTGTTGCATTTCTTTTTTACACGTTTCTTAAGAAAATATTAATTAGTAGAGATTTCTGACTATTTTATGCTTATTATGTCTTAAGATGTAATCCCTTTTAGTTGAATATTTACTGTATTTAGGTGTTATCTTAATCTTCAAGAACACATATTATTAAGGATAATTTGAGATAATAATTTTTAAAAATTACAATCGATAATTTGAGACGAACGGAGTAAACCATTTCCTAAAAAAAATTGAAATAATTATTTTTAGAAATTACGATAGATAATTTGAGACGGAGAAAGTAAATAAAAAAAAAAACTTGGAACGAGCAATGGAGAAATTGGAAATTCGCTAAAGGAAAAGTAATTGGAAATGGAAAGATAACCTGATCGTGGCTGAAATCAAACCAGACTTGAACTACTTCGGGAAACACAGTGGCGCCTCTTGAAATTTCCCAAACTGACGCTCCAATTTCGAACAATGAATACAAAGCCACAATCGCAGCTGCAATTGCAACAAACCTATCCAAATACAACAATTACATAAATTTCTTTAGCATAAATATAGTAGTAAATTTTTCATAAAAGTTAGAGTATTCAATTAAGAGAACCTAAATTAATGCTGCTGTGGTAGTAGTACCTGAAAGCATCGAAGTGGTACCACTGAGGAGAACCAGAGCCACGAGAGTTGGTGTACATGAAAATAGCAGAGGCAAGAGAGAAGCAAAAGGCAGCGAACCGGAAAACGAGAATCAAAATGTTGAACCGCCGGTTTTTTTGCACGGAAACTGTGGACTGGAACTGAGATTGGATTCTAGGCCGGGGCGACGGAGTCATTAAACCGCCGTTCCGGTTCGGTTCTTGAGCTGACCTCATAATTTCTTCCACTGCAGATTCAGGAGATCATAATAAACAACGAGAAGGAGGTAGAAAATAGAGTACAAACTGAAAAAGTTCGAGGATTTAATATTGTTCTTAAAAATTTGAAGTCACGGGACATGACATGATTCCCATGTAAAGAGAAAACATATATCTGGAAACAATGACAGATTTTGCTTTTAGTAACAATTTTAATTTGTGGGCACTTTTTTGGAAAATATTTACCTGAATTCAGTGTATGCGTATTAAATTAAGTCATTTTCACTATCAAAAGATATACTGGACGATGGTTGAGATACCTACACTCTCTATCAAAGGTCTAGTTTCGAGCCTGGTAAATAATTTTTTGATAGGAAATGCTTTAGCTCTATAATATATTTATTTGGTGCGAATTCAAATTAATCGAGCTAGTGAACTTCGAATACAAGATAATTATTTTAGAAAAAAATATTTTTGATCATAGACAGTATAAATTAGAATAAAATACATATGCAAGGTGCTACATAGACAACGGGTTCATATGAATTAAGTACTTCCGACTTGAAACATAAATTTATGTGTAAATATTCAATATAATTATTGTCACACCTCCTTTTTGCGCGCCCCGCCCCGAAGGGTTAAAATGCGCGAGAGAGTTTTTCCATTTTAAGTGACAATATTTGAAATGAGATTATTTATTTAATTCAGAGTCGCCACTTGGGAAAGGTTTGGCTTTTGGTGTCCCAAGTCACCGGTTTATCTTGAATCCCAAATCGAGGAAAATTTTCGACTTTCCAAATGAAGTCTGCGAACCAGAAATTCTAAGTAAGGAATTCTGTTGACCCGAGGGAAGGTGTTAGGCACCCTCTAATCCCGTGGTTCTAGCACGGTCGCTTAAATTGTTATAATGGCTAAATATCTGATTTAAATACATGTTATGACTCATGTGCTTTTATTAAATTTAAACCGCNTTGCTTCGAAGATTTCCTACATATCCTGGGCTAAATAGGAATCAGGTCAATGTAGTTCGGGAAAACTTGGTAGCTGGGACTACCATGGGGCTGCAATGCTTGCCGTTACTGCTGTTGCTGTTGTCACTGTTGCTTTACTGACCGCCTTATTACAACCAAAAGAAAATTGAAACTGAATTAACTACGTATGCTTGTCAATTGCTAGTTACAAGATTCCTATCTATGATTCTTTTGCAACTTAATCTTGGGTCTTAGCATGATTTTACTTGTAGACTTCGATCCGAATCTTGATGCTTGCAAGTTGTAGGCGCCTGTTTATTTCTGCGATATTGAGTGAGAGCAGATAGGTAGAACTCGGGATCTTGATCGAATCTTGGGGCGATCCGTCCTTCATTTTTCCAAGTATCTCAGAATATCTCCTTTTTTCTTTTTCTTCTTTTCTTTATTCCGGGTCGAGACTCATCTCGTAGGTCGTCTTGATCCATGCGTCTCGAAGTCAGACCTACGGGGAAAAACAAACGAACGAAATTTTCTGCCCCAGTTTCACCAGAAAAGTTTCGCGAGTTAATTGCCGGGCAGTTTGTAGAATTGATGAAGGGATTGGAAAATTTCAGTCTACAAAAATGCCAACTCCGGGATTGGATCACTAATGTTGCCACAAGGTAAGAATGCTCAGTTTAGGGTTGGAGCCCTAATGCTGGCTAAACGGAAAATCGCTCAGTTCAGGGTTGGAGCCCTAATGCTGGCTAAATGGAAAGAGTTCAAGTTGGAGCCCTAATGCTGACTAAATGGAAAAGAGTTCAGTTCAGGGTTGAAGCCCTAATGCTGACTAACAGAACAATGCTCAGTTCAGGGTTGGAGCCCTAATGCTGGCGGAAATGAAAAAGTTCAGTTCAGGGTTGGAGCCCTGATGCTGACTGAATGGAAAAGTTCAGTTTAGGGTTG